GACAGCGGTGTTGAATCTGGCACTCGCTCAATCATCGCCTCAGGTTATCTCGGAATATCTTGCCTGTCCCTCCGCGAGATTCACAACCCACGAATCAACTGACCCAGTATCTTTGCCATCCACTTGACCTGGGTTACACTGGAATAGTTTTATGAAGGCGTAATGTTGATTTAATGCCCCTTATCTCTGTTCACAGCACCGACTCGGTACTAACGCTGTCAAGTGTGTTCTGCAGGTCGTCCAGGTGTCTCTCGCAAACTCCACTTTATCTATATTCCGCGTGAAGTTTCACATTTACAACTTCGTCCCTGTCACGTGGGTCCTGTTTTAACATCAAAGCGATCGTAAAGTTACGACGGTCATAACTGCCTTCGTTTAACGTAGACTTGCGACAGTCGTGCTGTTATTGCTCTGTGAAACGAGAACGTTGTGTTTTTGGAACAAATAAGTGAAACGTCAACTCGAACTTTATTAACTTGCTATATTGTTTATGTCCATCCCTCTTTATTATCCCGGAGGGGCGGTCGGGTAGCCTAGTGGTTAAAGTGTTCGCTCGTCACGTCGAAGACCCGGGTTCGATTCCCGACATGGGTACAATGTGTGAAGCCCATTTCTGGTGTCCCCCGCCGTGATATTGCTGGAATATTGCTAAAAGCGGAGTAAAACCATACTCACTCACTCACTCACTCACTCACTCACCTTATTATCCCGGAAGATTGGCACAATTGAATGATATCGCCGCTATAGTATGATGTCGCCGCTATAGTATGATGTCGCCGCTATAGTATGATGTCGCCGCTATAGTATGATATCGACACTATGGTTTGATATCGTTACTATGATATGATATCGGCAACCCAAGAAATTGTATAAGGTCCCCAGAAAACAATGCTTTACAGTATTTATATCAAGCCATTCAAGAATAGTGTCACACAAAGATATGGTGAACGATACTATCGGCTAGCAATACGACATGCTATTCACTTTAAAATATTCATTTTGTTTCATTCACAAGTTAGTCGGACGAAATGCTTATTCACCGACATGCTCGTTATAGAATTTTGCGTGTCACTTGTAAAGTCAATATCCATGTTTAATACGACACACGAAACTATTTATGATCGAAGATAATGTTGTGTTAGCTATCCTAGAAGTTGTACAATGTACGATGTAATCCATACAAAAATAGCACAGGGAGTGCACATAAATATTTCTTTGTCGATCGATAATGATTCATTGAGACAGGTACCGACCTGTTTTAAATGAAACACAACACGCGTTGTTGCAGCCCCTCTGAGTAGCTTCCTGGTCCACGAACGTCGAGAAACACGTGCGACCTGACCTCTGGGTTTGGTTCGACATTGTTCGGAATTAATACACTAACAACCCTCCGCCTCCCCAGCAACCATTGCTTGTCGAAAGGAGTGGCCCGGCTATAAAGCTGGACCATGGGAGAGTTAAAAACAATAAATTCAACATACCTCTGTACAGAGGAATACGACCCGTGAAGATACGGCATAGAATAGGTCTTCAGTAACCCATGTTTGCCGTGAAAGGCGACTATGCTTGTCATCAGAGGCAACAACGGGATGGGGTGGTCAGGCTCGATGACTTGGTTGATGCATGTCATTGTATCCCAATTGCGGAGATCGATGCTCATGATGTCAATCACTGGATGTTTGGTCCAGGCTCTATTATTTACAGACCGCCGTCATATAGCTTGAATATTGCTGAGTCCGGCGTTAAACAAAAACCAAACCGAGGGATACTATGCGGTTTATGTGTCCGTCCGATGAACAGTAAAGACCGCCTCCGTGGTCTAGTGGTAGAGCGTCCGCCCGGAGAGCGGAAGGTCCGGGGTTCGTCCCCGGCCGCGTCACACCAAAAGACGTTAAAAGATGGTACTTGTTGTTACCCTGTCTGGCGCTCGGCATTAAAGGGCTAAAACAAGGACTGGTCGGCTCGGAGTCAGTATACTGTGTCTGAGTGGAGTATCCATGTTAAACTACGGCATGGTATCTCAGTGTGCTAGCACTATAAATCAGCATCAGTCCGGACTAGTACAAGCAGCCACACACACTCGTGCATGCACGTCGCTATATAAGTGCAATAATCTTGGACGCGACGTTAAACCCCATTTCACCTCACCGATGAACAGTTTGGTGAATATCTTAATGTGCTGCGTGCTCCGTTGTGTGTGAGGGTTACGAGTGACCAGTGGTACCACTGCAGCTCAATGTGCAGATTTGGGTACCTTCGCCCCGCCATCGCCCCGCCATCTCCCCTTTGTCGTGCGTGACATCCCAAGTTTCCTCCAACTATCCAGCACATTGTGGACGTTAAGCAAAAGTTTCTTGATAATTTATTAAACAAAGTGGTAACTGGAGAAAATCCTAGTTCTTGTTTAGAGGTAGTGCTTAATACTATATACTGGATCTGTAAAAACTGTTGAAAATATTCCGTGTGCCTTATTTCCCAAATGGCATAAAAAGTTAATTTCGACTCATTCTCGAGAGGATGCTTTCAGTGAATATTGCCATTTCTGCGATACTGCTGGTTGTGAACAGCTCTCAATGACGACTGACATTGTCGACACACACTGACTACACATAATAACGAGGACATATCACCCATATGCCATGCCTGGGCACCTCCGCGTTATAAGAATGCATCGGACATTGCAAGCGGAAGTAGAATCGCAGCCATCTGAATATGAACTTGGGTCTGTTTCACTTTGAGGAAGTAGTAAATATATATGAGTTAGTGAGTCAAGCTTAACACCGCTTTGACAACCATGTTAGTTATGGCATATCGTGTCTTCACGATGTACGCGGACAGCCCAAGTGACGAACCATTTTGGTGGAAAGCTCTTGGACTAACAATACAAGGATTACACTAGAGGACAATTTTGTATTGTTGGTTAAATATGAATCAGGATTACTGTCAATGTAATTATGGAGGTTGCCAACCCCCTCCTCCCCTGAATCACGAATACCATCTAATTGTAAACGCTGCTCATTGCTCACCCCTGTATTCCAAACAGAATACAGTAAACTACGATTACAACGAACCTACTTTTTTGGTCCCGACTATTTGCTGTTGTTATACTGTATATATGCTTATAACGAACTACGGTTATGACGAACTAAAATAAGTAGTCCCTTTGAGTTCGTTATAACCGTACTTTACTGTACTACTGTACAACATAAATCTCAAGAGTTCAAGTACTGAAACAAATATAAACATAATAAAATATATGAAGACCATTTTTACGTCCACAGCTATTTTTTTAAATGTTGAATCTGCGTACCAAATACGATTTTATTTGAGTTCCGCGTATTTGAGTTCTGACATCCTCTCAATTGACCCAAGAATCTCGCATACCAAAAAGGGGATGGCAGCCTGAATATGGTCTGCCGCCATGAGTGAGTGAGTATGGTTTTACGCCGCTTTTAGCAATATTCCAGCAATATCACGGCGGGGGGCACCAGAAATGGGCTTCACACATGGGCTGTACCCATGTCGGGAATCGAACCCGGGTCTTCGGCGCTGCCGCCATAAAGATGGATACTGTGGAGAACTGATAGGTCACAACACATGCTTACACATTCCCCTCAGAAAGAGGTTGGCCTGATTCCCAGACCCTTGCGAATATATTAAACAAGGAGTCCAACTCAAATCTAGAATGATTTGGCAAGTCTAGATTGCCTCAGCTCGAGCAGAAATTAAGCATTGTTCAGGGCTCTATTTGAATTTTACTATTTATTTTTTGGATACATGTTATTGAATGAGATAGCTTTAATTCTGGGACAAAATGTTAGCCGAGACACAGGCCTGCTGCATGCAGCATGTGATGTGGCGGTACCACAGACATTTCCTTTCCTTGCGATCTTGATCTCCCAACACATCTTCCGGGTCTCTCGGGCCTTTCCGGGCGTCCTTCCGGTCACTTGTTAGGATGCGATGTTGCCGCTGAAGTGGGCAACTCGTACATGATTCATAGTCTGTCTATGATACTGTCTGATATGTTGTAGCTCGTTGGTATGGCGCATGGTACGTCACAGTGTTGGCCAGTTAAATTCATTCTCTCGGGTGTCATTAGAAGCAGTTTTATTTGATGGCCGTGGTGTTTCCAGGCTGTGGTGTTCACAGGCCAATGCTATGTCTCTGAAAATACATAACTTTAATAGAAACAAACAACTCCCTTTTAATTGGAAAGGAGCCTCTGGGAGTTGGGATATTCAGAGAAAAATTTAGACTTGCTTAATGTCGGCTTTATCATAAGGGTAAGGGCTGGGAGGAAGGGAAAATAACAGTTCAGGGGGCTGTGAGACAGTCAAGTTTGGACAGTCATGTAAAGTTTTCGAGAGTGCGGAGTCAACACCTTTATAATCTCTCATGTACTAACTTCGTAGAGCCGTCAACACGAATAGATAGGATAGAGATATGGAAAGATACATGGATAAATAGGTACAGTAAATTACGGTTATGACGAACTCAAAGGGACCAATAATTTTAGTTCGTTATGACCGTAGTTCGTTATAAGCGTGTTCGAAATAAACGTGGTTTACTGCAGATGGATAGGTATACGGATAGATATTTAAGCACACGGTTAACTAGATTATAGAAGGATATATAGAATAGACACGGCTGTGTAGATGGTTAGTATGTGCAGCGTACAAGTATTGAGTACAAACATATATAAATAACATCAGCATATTTCAGCTATATGACGGCGGTCTGTAAATAATCGAGTCTGGACCAGACAGATATAGTGCATGCACGTCGCTATATAAGTGCAATAATCTTGGACGCGACGTTAAACCCCATTTCACCTCACCTCACTAATATAGGCATCACAGACGTATCTAATACAAACACGTCCTCGGTGTTGAACATCTATGGCCACACTCGGCTTATGGGTTGCACAAAACGAATATAACCTTGGTGTCATGTGTGATGGCTTCATCTTCTTGTATGATTATGATTTTCCTTTTCAGATAGAGATGGCAAGACGTCCTAAAGGTTATGGGCTCACTGCTGAAATAAACAAAAAGGTAGGCAATGCATGTAGTGTTTATATTACTGGAAGCTACCATTATTACAGAATTTACTCTCACTTTGTTCTGGTGTCCCCCGCCGCGATATTGCTGGAATATTGCTAAAATAGGCGTAAAACAATACTCACTTACTCACTTTCACTTTGTATGAGTTCAGGATCAAAGGGTCTAAATAATCAAAAACAACGCTTCTGTAATTATTTGTGCTAAGAAAAACACAGGAGAAATGTGGAAGTAGTGCGTCATTCTTGACGTCATTTGAAGAATACAGCCTCGTGAAAAAATGCATGAACGTTAGTATCGCGGTCAAGTGACCGATCTCTCGTCCAATTGAAAACCGTGCATCGTGTACACTTCACATTACAAAATATAGCCGTTTGATCACTCTAACGGCCGTTTATTTATACGTTTATTTATCAGTTTGTTCATTCATTATATCTGTCCATTTGTCTTTCCTTTTATTTCTATAATCTATGTATGCTTTTCTATCATCTGTCTATCCGGGTATGTCTATCTTATCTATCATCTACTAGTATCTATCTGGGTGTGTCTATCCTATCTATCGTCTATCATCAATCTATCCGGGTGTGTCTATCCTGTCTGTCTATCATCTATCTATCCGGGTGTGTCTATCCTATCTGTCTATCATCTATCTATCCGGGTGTGTCTATCCTATCTGTCTATCATCAATCTATCCGGGTGTGTCTATCCTATCTGTCTATCATCAATCTATCCGGGTGTGTCTATCCTATCTGTCTATCATCAATCTATCCGGGTGTGTCTATCCTATCTGTCTACCATCTATCTATCCGGGTATGTCTATCCTATATGTCTATCATCTATCTATCCGGGTGTGTCTATCCTATCTGTCTATCATCAATCTATCCGTGTGTGTCTATCCTATCTGTCTATCATCAATCTCTCCGTGTGTGTCTATCCTATCTGTCTATCATCTATCTATCCGGGTGTGTCTATCCTATCTATCATCAATCTCTCCGTGTGTGTCTATCCTATCTGTCTATCATCAATCTATCAGGGTGTGTCTATCCTATGTCTATCATCTACTAGTATCTATCTGGGTGTGTCTATCCTATCTATCGTCTATCATCAATCTATCGGGGTGTCTATCCTGTCTGTCTATCATCTATCTATCCGGGTGTGTCTATCCTATTTGTCTATCATCTATCTATCCGTGTGTGTCTATCCTATCTGTCTATCATCAATCTATCCGGGTGTGTCGATCCTATCTGTCTATCATCTATCTACCCGGGTGTGTCTATCCTATCTGTCTATCATCAATCTATCCGGGTGTGTCTATCCTATCTGTCTATCATCTATCTATCCGTGTGTGTCTATCCTATCTGTCTATCATCAATCTATCCGGGTGTGTCTGTCCTATCTGTCTATCATCAATCTATCAGGATGTGTCTATCCTATCTGTCTATAATCTATCTATCCGTGTGTGTCTATCCTATCTGTCTATCATCAATCTATCCGGGTGTGTCGATCCTATCTGTCTATCATCTATCTACCCGGGTGTGTCTATCCTATCTGTCTATCATCAATCTATTCGGGTGTGTCTATCCTCTCTGTCTATCATCTATCTATCCGTGTGTGTCTATCCTATCTGTCTATCATCAATCTATCCGGGTGTGTCTGTCCTATCTGTCTATCATCAATCTATCAGGATGTGTCTATCCTATCTGTCTATCATCTATCTATCCGTGTGTGTCTATCCTATCTGTCTATCATCAATCTATCAGGGTGTGTCTGTCTATCATCTATTCATCCGTGTGTCTATCCTATCTATCTTCTATCATCTATCTATCCGTGTGTATTCTATCTATCCGGGCGTATCCTATCTATCCGTGTGTCTATTCTATCTATCCGTGCGTATCCTATCTGTCCGTGTGTCTAACCATCAGTACTTTTGCCTTTGCAGATCAACGCCAAGTATGACATTGAAGTTGAGCGGGAGGCCAGGGAGTGGATTGAAACGTTGTTAGGCAATCCCCTATCTGATGTAAGTATTTGCTCAAAACAATGTTTGGTATTCCATCATTGTGTACGTAATGTCATATCAAGAAAATAATGTTTATCTCTTTTGGGAGTCCATGACGGAATCAACTATTGACAGGCAGTCGTAACGTAGCAGGTAGTCTTCTGACTGCGTTGTTAAACAACATTCTCTCATGCTTCTTACCATGTCAAGCTTTTAAAAGCGACATTAAACCGAACTCATTCCAGTAGAGTCAATTTACTACATAGAATGTTTTAATTATCGGTCCTGCTTCAATGCTTTTATTTGGTTTTACAGGACTCCGGCGATCTGGGCTCCGATGGAATGCACGCCGTTCTTAAAGACGGAGTACTTCTATGCCAGTATGTAAACTATGTAAACACTCCACATACTAGTAGTTTCAAATATTTTGATACAGTTTTAAGATGAGACTAACATTCTCAAGTATTTTCGTGAATTTTCAAGTATTTGGCACTGTTGTTTACTTATCTCTCGTACTCTCTACTATCCTCTAGTATTCTCGACTATCCTCTAGAATTTATCCTCTATTCTCTACTATCCTCTTCCGTACTGTTCTTTTGTATTCTGTGCTATTCTCTGCTAATCTGTAGTATTCTATACTATTCTTAACTATCCATCAGTATTCTCTATTATTATTTAGAATTCACTACTATTCTCTTCTTCCCTCTAGATATTATCTTCTATCCTCTGGCATGACACTCGAGTATTTGTGGTGCTTTTGGCCCTCAGGCGTCCCGATCCAATGGTCGCGATTGGCTGTGCAGAGTTGCGTCCCTTGGGAACGCCAGAAACCTGTGATTGTGGGTTCGAATCCCGGTTCGCCCCAAATATGTTTCTAGGTTTGTCAGCACCATACCCGTGCTCGTGGGTTTCATCGAAGTGGTAAACGTCTGAGACCTGCATCACTTTGGGCTTTCCTCCCACATTTAGCTGACACGCCCTGTTATAACTGGAATACTGTTAATAGCGGCGTTAAACCCAACTCACTCACTCAATGATCATGTATTATCTAAAAGAATATCTCATAACAATATTCACACTCTCACTTTAGGCTTCCCACTCAACACTCCCTTATGTATGTCGCTTGTTATTTCAGAGTTATGAATCGCTTACAACCCGGCAGTATAAAGAAAATAAACGAATCGAAAATGGCGTTCAAACAGATGGAAAACATTTCCAAATTCCTTGAAGCTGCAGAAAGATATGGCTGCTCAAAGACAGACATGTTTCAGACAGTAGACCTTTATGAGAAAACCAACATGGTGCAAGTCATTAACGCTGTCCATGCACTAGGTCGAATGGTAAGTGCACTCTTGAACACCCCGTTGTTAGTCATTTTGTCCCCCTTTAACAGGATCGGGTGATCAAGTTTTGTGACCTTGCTGGTTGTGTCTCATCAAGCTCCGACGGCAATGATGGGCAATCGTGCTTTTAGAAACTGGTTTCTATGTATATTTCACTGTCCACCGTGATATTGCCACAATCGTGCCGACTGCGCCGCATAACAACATTCACTCGGTTGTAAAACATCAACCTCTATTGTTATAACTTCGTAACTTTGTATAACTTCACAAGACATACCTGAAGATGACGTTCGGCAATTTGATCTCTTTAAACTAAGGCTACATTTAACTTGCCTTTGCATGCGTTTGTGATGGGTGTAACGATGAGGCAGGATACTCTCACTTTTCGGCAAAACCTGCTGTCATCACTATTTGATGGTGATTCATAAACACATGCTCATGATATAGTCGGAATCGAACAATAGAATGCTTTTAGTAGAGATTTGTTTTGATTATGGAATGTGTGTTGTCGCTTGTATTTACTTGGCACGTAAGGTATGTCAGTCAAGGCCGTGGAATCCTGTCCGTCCGTCCGTCTGTCAAACATTCGGGTCATAACAGATGTCATACTGGCTATCGCGTTTAAATGTATGATTCATTCTATGCATATATTACAGGTCGTGGCACAGAACACTGTTGTTCAACCAAGGCATGTTACGTTTCAGGCTCGAGCGGTCGGGTAGCCTAGTGATTAAAGCGTTAGCTCGTCACGCCGAAAACCCGGTTTCAATTCCCGACATGGGTATAATGTGTGAAGCCCATTTCTGGTGTCCCCCGCCGTGATATTGGTGGAATATTGCTGGAATATTGCTAAAAGCGGCGTAGAGCCATACTCACTCACTCACTATGTTTCAGGCTCAAAAGAACGGGTTTGATGGACCAGGGTTGGGCCCAAAAGAATCTCATCAAAACAAACGGGAGTTCTCCGAAGAAACACTTCGAGCGGGCAATTGTGTAATAGGTCTTCAGGCTGGCTCCAACAAGGGCGCCTCACAAAGTGGTATGAACCTTGGGAAGACTCGGGCTATTCTGGACTAAAGGCTCAGAAGAAGATAGGACATCTGATAACAGCAATCATCGGAGAGAGGGAACGGAGAGCGGGAAGCTGAGTGAGGGCTTGCGCTTCTGTTGCATCAGCTGATAGACTGCATCTTCAAGGGGGACTAGGCTTAACGGTCAATGCCCCTTTTGAGTGGCTTTAGGTCCATCTAAAACATACAATTTGAGATGACTGATGAGGACATTATTTTCATGACCATATTGAAATTGAATGGGACTGCACATCGGCCGAGCCTAGTTTCCCTTGAAGCATCTGTACCTGGATCGTCGTTTTCAGCAAACAATTCAATATATGAAACATATTATATTTCATTGCTTTTTGATAGCGCGGGCCATCATGGAAGATCGAATTACTATGTAACACATTTTGTGGATAATTTATGAAGGGGGATAACTCTGTCGCATGATATTGAATTGAGCTGTCATGGTTTTGTATAGCTTTGGTATTTGTAATCTGTAACTCTCAGCATACCAGCGTGCGAGTATTAACAACAGAAGTCTTACAACTTTCATCACAAACTAGGTGATCACAAATATGATGTCCAGTAGGCTGAGTCTCTATTCTTGGCGTTTTGAAGCTTCTGTTCACAAAGTGCTTTGAATATGCAATGTTAATGCCCATGGTTCTATTCACACAACCATTGTAGGAGCTTAGTTCATTTATTCAGTTTTTGTAGATAATCGAAGTTTTCAAATATATTGTTTAAACGTGGTATTAAATTCTATTTAGTTTAATTACCCTTTGAACACATATGTATTATAAATTAACCAGGTTTCAAGATGATAGTATTGTATTGTCCACTACATTCACAGTATAGTGTTTAGTTTCAGTATTAGAAAGGGTATTTCAATTCAAGCACTGTTTTACTTTACGTTATCAGGATTGTAGAAATATTTAGCAACTGTGTATTACACAGCGACAAATGTTCCACATACATGCCTTTCACTCATTTTGATCCGTGTCTTATGCAATGTTTCCTGCTGAGTAAGCAATATTATTTATGCAATCCTTTGCCTCTGATATACACACATATATATATGGTCACACATCTTCCCTAATTAAAATATTAGCTTTAATTCAGGCTTAGCATCGTACCTAGTCGTACACCGATGCTAATGATGTATGCATGTATGTATGGATACAAACGGATTGAATTCTGCAATGTTAACCTGAGCACAAATCCTTTTAATGCGAAGGTCTGTTCATTTATTTCTTGGTTAATTTACGAATGATCTGTTTACGAATAAATTTAAGATTTTCAGAACTGACCTTTTCTCCCTCCTGTTGACACATTTCAGTTATAAAAAAAGCCATGCAACGTTAGTTGATAAGAAAAGAGAGGTAACTGTTTGACTTATGTTTTGAAGTTTCTTCTTTTCACCCAGCCTATTTAACTGAGAAATCATCTTTATATAAATGTGAATTTGCGTATGTGACTTATGTCTCTGTTAACGGAGTAATAATATGATAAATGCCTCATGTAGTACTTTGGTCATGATCTATGTGTGTCGTTTGAAGAACAACCCTTGTCATAAGGGAAATTGTTTTGAAGAAACATTGATAATGCTATTTAAGAAACATATAGTCGAAAGTATGAAGGCTAAATGAACAGCTAATTGCGTGTGTTACATCACGTCTTATGTAGAGCACTTCAATCTGCACATTGGACATGACACTGTGCACCAAACAAGGTTCTCCCACAGCCAAATATGACCAGTAAATTTATAACAGCTTTACTTAGATTTAGCCAAAAAACAACCAAAAAACTAGTTGCAACCCATGAGTGACTTGTCCAGAAACAATTGATGTTGAAGTTATGTGTGGGCTAATGAGGTTCTTGTTATACATCTTCGAACCCAAGTCAGTATAGTTGAAACTGTCAACATTGGAATTGGGAGCATGATATGTTCATATTATACTGTGTGCGGATGTTGATCTATGTATTGTCTTGAACAACATGATATTATTCATTATTATTTTATATCTTTTACATGAATGTACCATGTAAGCAACCAAATGAATGCATACTCTATCGTGATATCTACATACATGAACGTCATATGTAAGAAACTGCATTTCATTGATTAAACAGATATTTAAAACGTCACCATGTGATATGTATTATGTGTGAATTAGCCTGGGAAAAAGTAAACAGATTAATTAGTTTGTTGACAAATTGAATTGTCTGGAGAAGGTATAAGCAATGGTCTCAAACTATTAACACAAACTTGTTTTCGTCAAAGAGAAGACATTTTATTCCATCATGTTATTTTTATACTATTTTGTCATGCCTACATTATAAATATAATGTATCCCACGAGCCCCCCCCCCCCCCCCCCCCCCCCCCCTAAGTGGTCGAAGCAGACATCAGTGTTCCTTGCCTGATTCAACTCCGTCTTGTTCAGCAAGGGTGAAGATATATTCTATCAGACACGTTCGATTCCCGACATTGGTCCAATGTGTGAAGCTCATTTCAGATGTCCCCCGCCGGAATATTGCTAAAAGCGGTGTAGAATCAAACTCACTCACTCACTGACTATCAGAAACGTCTTGTACATTTCCAGCTATCATACTTTTACATACGATATAGGACGCAAATACAAATAATGTATGTTGTTACATGCATTTATCAATCCCATAGCGCAAAAACACGCCATACGAACTACAACCTTTTCTCTTCTTCCGCTTTTCACGCCATACGAACTACAACGTTTTCTCTTCCGCTTATACAACAAGAAATAAGAATACTCAACTCATCCCGACACAAATGAAGTTTTTATCACACGCTTTTTAGCCCATATCTCTCTTTTGATGGTTAGGTTTCAAAACTTTCTTCAGATCAATCGTTACAATCACTGACATATCTATGTTTGTATTTGGAAGGTTTACCTCGTTAGATATCTAAACTCCATACAAATGACGTCTACACGAAATACAATCAGTGAACATGTCCAGAGGACTTTCTGATGCAAGCAATATGTAACAGACACATATGTCGTAGCACAAGGCAGATGAAATGAGAGCAGAGTGGCGCAGTGGAAGCGTGTCGGGCCCATAACCCAGAAGTCCGTGGATCGAAACAAGATTTGAAGACAAGAAATGAGACAACACCCCCCAAACCAACACAAATGAACTTTTCATGACTAGCTTTATAAAAGGCCTTATCCCTTTTTTATGTTTGCATTTCAAGACTTTCTTTAAATGAATCGTTACAAACACTGACATATCTATTTGTATTTGGAAGGTTTACCTCTTTAGACATTTAGATTGCGTACAAATGGCGTTTACACGCAATATGATCAGTGAACATGTCCAGAGGCTCCTATGCTCTGCTAACTACACCTTTTTCTCTCCTTCCCGCTTTTGCAACAAGAAATAAGACAACTCACCCCAACACGACGAAAATGAAGCCGTCATTAGCAGCTATATCAATTCCTTGATTTCTCTTTTGATGATAGAGTTTGAAGATATTCTAAAAATTAAACCTTACAAAGTACTGACATATCTATGCTTGTATTTGGAAGGTTTACCTCTTGATATATCTAGATTGCGTACAGATGACGTCAACACGAAATACAATCGGTGGACATGTCCAGGGGACTTTCTGATGCAAGTAATATGTAACAGACACATATGTCGTAGCACTAGGTAGATGAAATGAGAGCAGAGTGGCGCAGTGGAAGCGTGCTGGGCCCATAACCCAGAGGTCCGTGGATCGAAACCACGCTCTGCTAACTACACCTTTTTCTCTCCTTCCCGCTTTTGCAACAAGAAATAAGACAACTCACCCCAACACGTCGAAAATGAAGCCGTTATTAGCAGCTATATCAATTCCTTGATTTCTCTTTTGATGATAGAGTTTGAAGATATTCTAAAAATGAATCGTAAAAAAGTACTGACATATCTATGCTTGTATTTGGAAGTTATACCTCTTTAGACATTTAGATTGGGGACGAATGGCGTTTAAGCGCAATGTAATCAGTGAACATGTCAAGGGGACTTTCTGATGCAAGTAATATGTAACAGACACATATGTCGTAGCACTAGGTAGATGAAATGAGAGCAGAGTGGCGCAGTGGAAGCGTGCTGGGCCCATAACCCAGAGGTCCGTGGATCGAAACCACGCTCTGCTAACTATACCTTTTTCTCTCCTTCCCGCTTTTGCAACAAGAAATAAGACAACTCACCCCAACACGACGAAAATGAAGCCGTCATTAGCAGCTATATCAATTCCTTGATTTCTCTTTTGATGATAGAGTTTGAAGATATTCTAAAAATGAATCGTAAAAAAGTACTGACATATCTATGCTTGTATTTGGAAGTTATACCTCTTTAGACATTTAGATTGGGGACAAATGGCGTTTAAGCGCAATGTAATCAGTGAACATGTCCAGAGGACTGTCTGATGGGGTGAGTTGTCTTATTTCTTGACTGTCTGATGCAAGCAATATATACAGACACATATGTCATAGCCAGAGGTCCGTGGATCGAAACCACGCTCTGCTAACTACACCTTTTTCTCTCCTTCCCGCTTTTGCAACAAGAAATAAGACAACTCACACCAACACGACGAAAATGAAGCCGTCATTAGCAGCTATATCAATTCCTTGATTTCTCTTTTGATGATAGAGTTTGAAGATATTCTAAAAATGAATCGTAAAAAAGTACTGACATATCTATGCTTGTATTTGGAAGTTATACCTCTTTAGACATTTAGATTGGGGACAAATGGCGTTTAAGCGCAATGTAATCAGTGAACATGTCCAGGGGACTTTCTGATGCAAGTAATATGTAACAGACACATATGTCGTAGCACTAGGTAGATGAACTGAGAGCAAAGCGGCGCAGTGGAAGCGTGCTGGGCCCATAACCCAGAGGTCCGTGGATCGCAACCATGCTCTGCTAACTACACCTTTTTCTCTCCTTCCCGCCTTTGCAACAAGAAATAAGACAACTCACCCCAACACGACGAAAATGAAGCCGTCATTAGCAGCTATATCAATTCCTTGATTTCTCTTTTGATGATAGAGTTTGAAGATATTCTAAAAATGAATCGTAAAAAAGTACTGACATATCTATGCATATATTTGGAAGTTATACCTCTTTAGACATTTAGATTGGGGACAAATGGCGTTTAAGCGCAATGTAATCAGTGAACATGTCAAGGGGACTTTCTGATGCAAGTAATATGTAACAGACACATATGTCGTAGCACTAGGTAGATGAAGTGACAGCAGAGTGGCGCAGTGGAAGCGTGCTGGGCCCATAACCCAGAGGTCCGTGGATCGAAACCACGCTCTGCTAACCACACCTTTTTCTCTCCTTCCCGCTTTTACACAAGAAATAAGACAACTCACCCCAACACGACGAAAATGAAGCCGTCATTAGCAGCTATATCAATTCCTTGATTTCTCTTTTGATGATAGAGTTTGAAGATATTCTAAAAATGAATCGTAAAAAGGTACTGACATATCTATGCTTGTATTTGGAAGTTATACCTCTTTAGACATTTAGATTGGGGACAAATGGCGTTTAAGCGCAATGTAATCAGTGAACATGTCCAGGGGACTTTCTGATGCAAGTAATATGTAACAGACACATATGTCGTAGCACTAGATAGATGAACTGAGAGCAGAGTGGCGCAGTGGAAGCGTGCTGGGCCCATAACCCAGAGGTCCGTGGATCGAAACCATGCTCTGCTAACTACACCTTTTTCTCTCCTTCCCGCTTTTGCAACAAGAAATAAGACAACTCACACCAACACGACGAAAATGAAGCCGTCATTAGCAGCTATATCAATTCCTTGATTTCTCTTTTGATGATAGAGTTTGAAGATATTCTAAAAATGAATCGTAAAAAGGTACTGACATATCTATGCTTATATTTGGAAGTTATACCTCTTTAGACATTTAGATTGGGGACAAATGGCGTTTAAGCGCAATGTAATCAGTGAACATGTCCAGAGGACTGTCTGATGCAATCAATATATACAGACACATATGTCATAGCACTAGGTAAATGAACTGAGAGCAGAGTGGCGCAGTGGAAGCGTGCTGGGCCCATAACCCAGAGGTCCGTGGATCGAAACCACGCTCTGCTAACTACACCTTTTTCTCTCCTTCCCGCTTTTGCAACAAGAAATAAGACAACTCACCCCAACACGACGAAAATGAAGCCGTCATTAGCAGCTATATCAATTCCTTGATTTCTCTTTTGATGATAGAGTTTGAAGATATTCTAAAAATGAATCGTAAAAAGGTACTGACATATCTATGCTTATATTTGGAAGTTATACCTCTTTAGACATTTAGATTGGGGACAAATGGCGTTTAAGCGCAATGTAATCAGTGAACATGTCCAGAGGACTGTCTGATACAAGCAATATATACAGACACATATGTCATAGCAATAGGTAGATGAACTGAGAGCAGAGTGGCGCAGTGGAAGCGTGCTGGGCCCATAACCCAGAGGTCCGTGGATCGCAACCACGCTCTGCTAACTACACCTTTTTCTCTCCTTCCCGCCTTTGCAACAAGAAATAAGACAACTCACCCCAACACGACGAAAATGAAGCCGTCATTAGCAGCTATATCAATTCCTTGATTTCTCTTTTGATGATAGAGTTTGAAGATATTCTAAAAATGAATCGTAAAAAGGTACTGACATATCTATGCTTGTATTTGGAAGTTATACCTCTTTAGACATTTAGATTGGGGACAAATGGCGTTTAAGCGCAATGTAATCAGTGAACATGTCCAGGGGACTTTCTGATGCAAGTAATATGTAACAGACACATATGTCGTAGCACTAGATAGATGAACTGAGAGCAGAGTGGCGCAGTGGAAGCGTGCTGGGCCCATAACCCAGAGGTCCGTGGATCGAAACCATGCTCTGCTAACTACACCTTTTTCTCTCCTTCCCGCTTTTGCAACAAGAAATAAGACAACTCACACCAACACGACGAAAATGAAGCCGTCATTAGCAGCTATATCAATTCCTTGATTTCTCTTTTGATGATAGAGTTTGAAGATATTCTAAAAATGAATCGTAAAAAGGTACTGACATATCTATGCTTGTATTTGGAAGTTATACCTCTTTAGACATTTA